GCCGTTGAGTCCGGCGGTGCGCAGCGTATTCCGCACCACGAGATCGGCGTTCCCGTTGTGACAGAGGCTCGAGAACTTCGACACGAAGAAGTCGTACCGGCGATGGTATGACGGCGTGTCCTCATCGATGTGCGCGAACTTCACGAACTGTTTGAATGGTTAAACACGTGGTGTTAGAAGGGATGGGTAGGAGGGGGGAGTGTATGGCGTGTGTATGGGAATGGGAGTACCGATTGCGTGGCCAACAACTGCATGTCCGGCTCGTGGCTCTCCAGCAACTGCTGCACGATCTTCAGGAAGCTCTCGACAAAGAGGTTGAGTGTCTGGGCGTGACAGGCGGCCAACAACTGATCCATCGCCTCCATCGCTATCACCACATAACTGATCCGAGCGTTTGGTGGCACAGAAAGCAGTCGTTTTAGACTCATTTAGTCGGAAAAAACGTGTTTTCAAATGCAATTCAATACCCATTTCTATGTCGGGAGAGATCGCGGGCCACTTTGCGGGCCAAGTAGTCGCCGATTCGGTCCAACTTTTCCGGTGACGACAGCGCATAAAACGTCAGTTTCTCCATATTTGACTTCACGAGACCCTCCTATAGTGGACAACCAGTCCATATGACAGCACATTATTAAACAAACAACTCTATACTCTGTTATTAAAATTTTTTTTTGTTTAAATAATTGAATTGTAAGCTAATTGACAATTGAAAACAAGGCGTTAGTCTAAATGCAATGCCAGAGTACTATATTGATCCAGGGTAACGCTTTAATAGCCGTGTAATTGCTAATTGTATTTGTGTATTGTATTACACAATGCCATTATGATGATTATGATTATTCAAATTTATGATTATTTATATTTATGGCCCATATTTAGAGTGTGTGCTAAAGCCCTGAACGGGACGAGTAGTGCAAAGAATATTCTCTCTATTCTTATGATAATTAATTGCTTCACTCATTGCGTTACAGACCTCTCTCTCTCTCTCTCTCTCTCTCTCTCTCTCTCTAATCAATTAATTAGTGTATAAATAGTTTAATGTATATTTTCTCCGTTACTTATTATATATTTATAAACTTATTGTATATAAAACTCTGGCATTTAAATCGACTATAAAAATAAAGTACTGTATGTTATATGCCATGCATTACGCGAAGGACTTTTGTGTAAAAAACATTTTAATTGAATTATAACGAAAAACCGCTAATAAAAAACTACTTCATACTAAATATGAGAGTAATTATTAGTGATTTAGCATCGGTTTAATCACATACTTGAGGGTTGGATGGAAAGACATTATCGACTAATCGCTTGTATCGCGGCCTCAGCGCCGAACAGCAGCCACAACAACCTATAGGGGAAGGAAATCAAGTGATTTATATCCTGAAGTCAAGTCAAAAGACACATTCAAACACAGCACTTATAAATCAATTTAAATATAATGTTTAGTAGTAATAACAACTCAAAACATAACGTAAACACTAATCACGTAATAACAGACCCAAAACAAAACCCATTATTTAATAAAAGCAAAAAACTTATTAATCGGAAACACATAATAATAATAATCAAATTGAAAAGCAATCGACAGAAAAAACACGTCAAATAAATACTATATAACCGACAAAACAAATCAAAATACTACTCAAAAAAACAAAATAAATAAACGGAAAGAATATTCTGGAATCGGAGTCCAAATGACTGGTCGTACTGGTGGTGGTCGAGGGGAATGGCATGTCATCATACAAGTGTGTATATACAGCGGAAATGGACTTACATTCCGGAGGGTCGCACTGTTTGAATAGACCCCCGAACCAGTCGGTCGGCGTTATGCCGGTGCAGCAGTTGATGGACGAGATGATTGACATATTTTTTGTCGATTACTTAAAAATGCCGTTCAATTAGTTTTTATTATTATTTCTCATTATATAGGCATCGGATATCTGGCTCTCCATTCAAAATATAACAACAACTCTCTGTTTGTTTCCGTAATTCTCTCATTAAATCTCTTAACGATTAATAAAGTGATTCTCTTATCGATTAACATTAGCTTTGATTAGAATATTAATTGATTAATAATAGTAATATGATTGCATCGGATTAACGGATTAACGGGTAATATATTTATATATTTGTATTATTAGATGATATTATAACTCGAGTGTGGGATGAGATTAATATACAGAATAATGGTATTTATCACTAATATATATATGAGTTAATGAATTTCATGGAGCGTTAGATGAGAATCTTAGCCAAAGTCCAGACGGCTCTAAGGCTGGAAAGCCAGGAGAGGGGCGGCGGCGGGTTGCGGACGAGGGTTCGGGCCGCCTGTCTGGTGCCCACCAACGCGTTCACCACTTTTTGCTTCCGATTACCGGACATATTCGGGAACATAATAGGCGTCTGACGGGCGCACACAATATATAACAGATATTTTCAATTATATTAGCAAAATATGATAATATTTTAGACTTTTTTCCGTATTCAACACACAATCGATAACAACATCACAAACAAAAACAACAACTGAATGATCACAACAAGAATAAGAGTGTATTTATTATGAAGAATATTATTATTGTATTTAACTTATTATATGAGAGGGGAAAGTGAGCCTCTGTTTCACTCCAACCGCTCTCTTCACTCCAGATATAACCTCAAAGACACCACTCAATAGATAATAATAATCAGGAAAAGCGATATAATATACAAAACGCTCGCAACCGACAAATTAATAGCAAAATAATTATATTTATTAGCCGTTTAATGCACTTAATTATATCTGTTTATCAATCTATGCCATCGATTGGCGACAAATTAAATAATAACAACAAATATATAAAACACAACAAAAACTTTTGTTTCTTATAATATACTAAATACTCTTAAGGAAAACAGTTATTACGAGTGAATCGCGTACTGAAACACAAGACTTTTTATTGTTGTTTGCGTTACTCGTATCGATAGATCAGTCACGAGCTCCGGGAGTCTCGTACGAAGTCGTAGGCAAAGGTGAGTCCGTCCTATCGATTTTTGGGGGATACCAGCGCTTTATATAACGTTATTTTGATCGCAACAAATACGAGACCTAAATATTCAACGCAAACAACACGACGACGACTACTCGACTCCGATCTGCCTTTTCCTCGTATATCGTCTATACTTCGCTTATGCGCTGACTATAAGCCGTAGAGACGACTCACTCATACGAATTCAATGGCAATCATAACCATATTTTTAGTGATCATATTATAGTCGCTTTCACTCTCACTGGCCGTAACCGTTACGACACACATACACACCACCAAAAAGCACTCGTATCTCATCTGACAAAACGCTAACCACTTCTTACAGTTCAGGCGATAATATATATATATATATAATGTTTTTTATGTATGTTTTTTGTGGTACAGAATTTTAATCTCATTAAAAGCTATTTTTTCCTCTCGAAAACCTTTGGCTTTGCCTTCAGATAAGGGGATCTCATAATTAATCATATATTTATATGTCAGGATATATATGCATTATATTTATATTTATGTGACATATATACAAATGCTTTAAATAAGTAAAAATTATAAGACAATCAAAAAGTTACGTAAAGGGTTAAGCACACGTAAAGAGAGCATTGCGACGACAGGTTTATAGGGATTGAAAGATTCAATGAGTTATTGAATATTCATAATAATGTGGACAACAAACACACAAAATTGAGTCCACTTTTTATAAACTTTTTTTTTATAAGTTATTCAATTCTCCAAACGCATTGCTGTTCATTAGATAAATAAAAGTCATTTATTATTTATCATATCATATAAAAAAAGTCATCGCAAATGATAGCGCATTAAAAAAAAGCAGCAAAAAATTATTTCCCATTTGATTCATAGAAATTCGTATAAATATATTAAATGCACATAAATTTCCTACAAATAGCTGCCAAAGTCTATTGAGATTTTCCTAGCTCTCTCTCTCTCTCTCTCTCCCCACAACTAATACATAAAAAGTAATAAATAAAAAATTAGCGAATAGTTCACGTAATAGTCGCCTTAAAATCAATAGTAATTCGCGTAATAATAAACATATATAAAGAATATTTGTGTCAAACAATACTATATACAGTCCTATATATACGTAATATAAATATAAATACACTGTATATATGTTTACGAAATTTATTCATTTTTAATATTCTGTTAGTTTTTCAATGCATTTCCCAATTCGTGTGCATTTCTCTCGTAATGTGACGACAGGTTTATAGGGATTGAGAGATTCAATGAGTTATTGAATATTCATAATAATGTGGACAACAAACACACAAAATTGAGTCAACTTTTTATAAACTTTTTTTTTATAAGTTATTCAATTCTCCAAACGCATTGCCGTTCATTAGATAAATAAAAGTCATTTATTATTTATCATATCATATAAAAAAAGTCATCGCAAATGATAGCGCATTATAAAAAAAGCAGCAAAAAATTATTTCCCATTTGATTCATAGAAATTCGTATAAATATATTAAATGCACATAAATTTCCTACAAATAGCTGCCAGTCTATTGAGATTTTCCTAACTCTCTCTCTCTCTCTCTCTCCACAACTAATACATAAAAAGTAATAAATAAAAAATTAGCGAATAGTTCACGTAATAGTCGCCTTAAAATCAATAGTAATTCGCGTAATAATAAACATATATAAAGAATATTTGTGTCAAACAATACAAAACTATTTTCTGTCGACAAATATATGCTTTACGAGAAAATTGCACTTTTAATACGAGGTAACAAACAAAAAGCAAAAGTTATAAATTAAACACAAAAAAGTAATAACAAAAAAACGGCTCATAATTGAAGCCATATTTCACTCGTATATTAATAATATGAAAAACTGGAGACTCTATTGAAGCGAAAATTACATTTTCATAATAATTATGCATTGTTTGCATAATTCAGTTGTCAATCGCACGGAATCTCCACTTTTAATGCCAAACATTGGGCTTATATTGAGTTCACTTAGCATTTGGTGTCAAAATATTAATTAAGACTTTCCGTGAATAATAACAAAAAATATACACAAAAATGCAATTAAGACCAGAATTAGCGACTCATAAACAAAACTAATCCCTAAATAAACAGTAATTAAGTTACATATAAAAAACATATGTATAGAAAAATAGCGATTATTTAATGATAACTACAAAAAGCGTGTTAATCAATGGGATTTTAAAACGGGCAATAAATAAGTCATTAATTGTCAAATAAATAATAGCAAAATACTAATTGTGTAAAACATTTGTGATATAATAGCATACAACAAAAAAATATTCCGACAAAATAAATGATAATTAAAATGCAATGAATGCTAACATTTTTTGAAATGAGTCCAAACTTTTTATTTGATACAAAATTATGTATTTTTTGAGTAAAATTACAGCAAAAAATTTGTGTGAATAAAAAATATGTTAAATACATTTTTCAATCATTTTTGTATATTTTTCATAAATATATCGCTCAGTCATTGATAGTTTGGCAACAAATATATGTCAATAAATTAAATACAAGTAAAAAGTTTGGAGAAATTTATCTAAAAAATTGTTTTATTTTTCATTCAAATTCTATCATAAAATTTATGACCAAAAAAAGAGTACAAAAAATCTATTACTACTCTAAATATCTGTATAACTGTTATAATAACTGATATAATAATATATTCAGCTATTGATTGCATTTATTGTCCCCACTTTTGGCACACATTTTCAGCTCTCAATTCAATTCAATTGATGTATTGATTCATCAGAAAAATAATATCAAACATATTATGATATAAATAGTGTTCACTTTTCGCATACAATGGCACACAACAAAAAATACTGCAACTAATGATACAAATAATACACTACTTATGCATACAATACGGTTAGATAACTATAAGTACTGAACAAACATACGGTAAAAGTTAATTAAACGTATAATTCACTGGCAATACACAGGTAGGGGGCGGGAGGGGGATAGGGGTGTCACTCGAATGAGGAAATAAAACACTAGAAAACTATTTATGATTCAAATACTTATTATAAACGTCAGGATATTTTGGAGGAAAAGTTGTATTTTTGGTTTTCCCTATATTTTATGCATTTTCTCATGGGATGAACAGTGAGTATAGGGGAATGGGATGCGGGGTAGGGGTTTGCTTATGGGGATGGGGTATAAGTAAACAAATACCTGGAAGTACTTGAGATTTAATAGACAATAAGGAGAGTGAGTGAGTGAGTGAGAGAGAGAGAGAGAGAGAGAGAGATTGAGTGAACTCTATGTATTGAAAAAGAAAATACAAAAAAGTGAAACACATTTCGTGTTTGATATGCAACTGACGGTCAAAACACCCATTGATTGGAAACAGAAATGAAAAGCAAAACCGAAAATAAGTGATAAAATGCACACAAAAACTGAATACCCTTTTGATTGTGAAGTCGGTTATGAAACAAAAAAGCATTGATTTGAATGCGGTTTACAAATAGCAATACAAACGGCAGTATTGATTGAAATACAATACGAGTGGTGTGTTTGAGACATAAAACACATTTTTTTGAGACTTTTATCGCGATTATATTGTTGCCAATCAATGGGTTTAACCATTGGTTTCACTAATTGTATCCAAAAATATCTATAAATCTGTTGATCATTACGAGTACTAATGGCGTGAATGGAGTGCTAATTAACACATAGAAATGCAACACATATTTGCTAAAATAACCTTTATCATTTTAAAGACGCATAAATATATGAAACACATACAAAATTAATGACAATATATTTTGACAATTAGTTTTTAACATAAAATATGAGCATGGTATTAATTAATACGTTTACGTTAGTGTTCAATACAGGCATATGTCTAGACACTTACCCGACATATCCAATGATTTATTTGGTTATATTAATACTGTTTTTACCGCAATTTGATTATCAATTTAATCACATTTTAAATGTGTTTACAATTTGTAAACAAAAACATTAATCGTGTGTTTGTATGGAAATAATGTTTGCATTCAATGTGTCCACAGTTTGGGCCCATTTCACGCTATCATCACATATGGAGTGAAGTGTCATATAAAGTGCTAAACACTCGTCAAATATATAGCATTGTTTTGGTTGTGATTGTGTTGACAGTTGTGGTGATAATGAGGTTCTGTTAACAAATCAATTGATCCGACGATAACTGACCACAAGTCAAGTGATCGCACATTCATTACGAGAGTTATTGTCGACAACACGTCTTCTCCGGAGTCCTTCAGTGAACGTAAGACACACTCAGACACAGACTCTGAGACCTATTGACCACTCATTTGATGACCACTTGCTATACATGTGTTGCGTTTGTCTCACAACAGATCCCAAGAGTACTACGAAGTGATAGGTGATGTCCCAATCCGTGTCCACTCGAGTCAAGTGTGAAGTCGAGGAACAGATGTCGAGTGAAGTGAAGACAGAGTTCGCGAACCTGTGTTTGGCTGAAAGGGTGAAGAGTGAGGTCAGGGATGAGTCGTCGGGAACACCGTCTGGTATCCCATGGTATGTGTGAATGCATTGACAACACAAACACCGATCCACTAATGAATGACCCGTTTGTTACACCATTAGTGTCCAGAAGGAGACAATTGACGCCCAATTGGTGGCACTGATTGGTCTGTACGACAAGCGATTGGCGGAAACGGTGTCCAATGAGTGCGTATACATGCCTTAGAGTACACAACCGGTCATATGACCACTGATTGCCAATTGGTGTCCTATTTTGATGGCCAGAGTTCGGACGGTTCTTAGCAAACGTGTGGTTCAGTTGAATGACTGTCGCCACGAGTTACGCCATATAAGCCCCGGGATGGCCCACCTTATCGAACGGTTCGACACACGCGTCCACAACCTCGGCAATAAGGGAATGTTTGATGCCGTGCGTTGGCTACCGGCCCCGTACGGGCCCAGGTATGCGCTCATTAGCATATGTCACGCGATGTGTACTCATGAATGGTGTGTTTTGTCTCAACAGGTGGGCGCTGCCCGAGTGGGGTCGACTCATGGGGTACACCACGAGCTACCTTATAGAGCACACGTACGTCTTTCCGTCCCTGGATTCACGGCATTAGCCATACATTTGTCATGAGTTTTGATTTCTATTTAATTTGTGGCAAACGTTTCGCCAAAATACTGCGGACTCGTTATGTTAAATTTAGTATATGTTAGAATTGAGCTAGATTAAAACAAAATTTTTTGCAACTATGGATTTTTGGCACGATAACGTGGATAGGCCAACTTTTACTTAATTCTCAAAGGAACGGTAGGGAACGGTAGTTTTTGAAAATCCTAAATTACTTGAAAAGTATTCAATATTTTTAGGTTTTGATTTTTGGGTTCGATGCACAGGGTCAATACCAAAAAATTAAATTCTGGATTTCACAAAATTTTGTCTTGTTGATTTTTAAATAAATATTTTAAAATTTAAACATTTTAAATCCATTTATCTTAGCACTGGATTAATGTATCAAGATAATTCCAAATGGGTTCGAAAGGTCTTTCAAGATGCTAAAAATAGTTTGCTTGCAACCAGGCTGTAATTATTATGCCTTGCATTCTATCATAGGTATAAATATTTTCTATGTATTTATTGTTAAGTGAACTCTAACCTCGGACAACATTTCAATACGTTTTTAATATAGATTTCTAAGGCACCAAAATTGAACTTCAATAAAGAAGTTTAGCTAAGCCTATAGAATTATATCCTTAATGTGATATATAAAAATATAATTTTAATTTTATTAACAATTTAATTTATAACTTAATTCCGAACCAGATTAACTTAATTATGATCAATATAAACTTAATTATTATCAGAATTAACAAAATTTGAACGGAATTACCTTAATATTGTTAAAATTGACTTAATTCTAAAATAAATTAACTAAATTCCGAACTAAATTAACTAAATTGTGAAAAAATATCTTTATATTGTTATAATTAACTTAATTCTAAACTAAATTAACTAAATTATGATAATAATTAACTAAATTGTGAACAAAATTATCTTTATATTGTTATGATTAACTTAATTCCGAATTAAATTAACTAAATTGTTAACAAAATTATCTTAATTATGAACAAAATTATCTTTATATTGTTAAANAATAATTAACTAAATTGTGAACAAAATTATCTTTATATTGTTATGATTAACTTAATTCCGAATTAAATTAACTAAATTGTTAACAAAATTATCTTAATTATGAACAAAATTATCTTTATATTGTTAAAATTAACATAATTCCAAACTAAATTAACTTAATTATGATCAGAATTAACTAAATTATATAAACATTTTTGGATTATACTGACTTTAAATATGAACAGAATCAACAATAATATTAACTTTATTTTTAAAAAATTTACATTGCAATAAGGGCTAAAATATCACCTGGGATGTACCCAACATCTTTATTTAAATGATCAATTTTAAAGTCAAGTTTTGTTGACTTTAAAATCNTCAACAATAATATTAACTTTATTTTTAAAAAATTTACATTGCAATAAGGGCTAAAATATCACCGGGGATGTACCCAACATCTTTATTTAAATGATCAATTTTAAAGTCAAGTTTTGTTGACTTTAAAATCCATGTATTACGTTCATTGAAAAATATTGAAATGTTGTCCGAGGTTAGAGTTCACTTAACAATATATCGCATACAATAAATGTTCAAATAAACAAATCAAGATACATAAGATATAGCCATAAGCAAGCACAATAAACAATCCTTTAGTCTCCTTTAATCTAAATATGTTATTATCGATGAGTTCCGAGTCAGAGATTGGGATGTCTTTGAAAAATTTATTTTGATTTAAATAATACCGGAGCACAAAGAATAGGACTTTCGTGTGTATGAATAGACCCCTTTCCACACAATCCTTTATACTAGAGATCATAAGCAATCATAATAAACATTCATTTATTCATACATGGATTTTAATTAATTATATTATTAATAGTTATATTTTTACTTACAATTTAGTGATAGTTTTGTGATACATATGCTTATTATTGATATAATAGGAATTAAAAAATGAAAAATATTTTTCTTTAGCGCTAACTAATCGCGATTCGGGAAAGTTATGTTTGATATGTTCAATACCGTAAGAATCCAGTAACAAAACAGCCTTTCCCCTCAAAACCTGATTAATTTTACTGTCGTATTGAGTATTTGGTGTTATTTTATGATATAATTTCTTAAATTTCTCTTCACTTGTCAATAGCCGTGTCTTAAAGTCTTCAAACATTTGTGGTATAATTGGCTGTAAATGACTCCAAACCTTAGACCTGCGGTATATCTCGAGGTAATTATTGTTCATAATATCCTGCAATGAGTTTACTATAGGTATGGGTTTCGGTCTGAAATACATAGTGAACAGACAGCCAGAGAAACTCCGCGATAGGGCTGTGCTTAATAGGAGCCAAACAAATACCGTAACCAGTGACAAATGTTTATTAAACGGTTTTTTGGAGATATGACTTAAATTATTAATTAGGAATTCCTCTGACATTCCCATTCTTATGGTGTAAATGATTTTTATACCAATAGTCAGCAATTGTCTTAAATGTATGAAAATTCTCCGTAAGTTTGCATTGAGAACCGCAAAGAATAAGATTGTTAGCCATACCTAAAGAAACGGGATTTATATTAATTAAAAGTATCTAGTAAGTTAGTCTTAAATAGTATTAATACTGTATTTACTTTTAAGCTAAACATAGCTTTAAATTTAAAATAAGCGTGTTCATTTTCTAATTTTAGTGATGTTAATATTTCCAAATCATATCCCTGGTCAACCACAATTAAGTTAGCATTTGCAATTGGAGGATTTTTAAATATAAATGGACCGAGAAGCAAATGATTTATCTATTTGGTAATGTAATTTTATTAAGTATCATTTATTATACTTAAAATTAAATTAATTACCTGGTAAATTAATGGGTTTTTAATATCATGCTTTCCATATTCATGAAATACAATTCGCACATTTAATTGACATAGTATATAATTAGCAATGGTTTCCATTATTCCTATTAAATAAACCTATATTTAATGAAATATAAGTTAAATTGTAAAATTATGAAAAACATAAAAAATGTTATAAATTAATTTCTTACCGCAAATTGACCCAGAGTTTTACAGCCAATGTGAATATCTGTAGCAATAGCTGTATTACTGGTATTATAGTGATTATTACATGTAATATATTTGTCATAAGGAACTGTCTCAAATCGTATACCCAGTAATTCTTCAAGCATAATTTTATTTTTTAAAAATTATTATAATATTTCCTCGAATTAAGTAATATTAAACAATATTGTTAACATTAAATTTAGTGCATACAGTACAGTGCATTCAATATGTAGCTTAATTAAAACAGCTCTATTTATATGCAAAACTATATTTTATTATGCTTAAAATATTTAATTAGAAATTATTTATGAAGTCCGTTTGCACTATTATTGAGACAACTACTGTTATGATAAACCTTGAATATTAACTACTAAATAATAAAATTTTATTTTTAATTTATTAATTATCTAATTGTCGTTTGTAAAGAAAATGCTAGAAATTAAATTACTATGTTTTAAGTAATTTCCCATTTATATGAATTAAATTGCATTTTTGTTAAAAAATAAATATTTTTGAAATATTAGTAATTATGTTAAATGGATATCTATAAAAATAAAATTTTAATATTGTAAGATCCCTATTAAACATTTAACTAGTTTATTTCATAATAGTGTTTTGGGTGTAAATATTGTGGGTGTTTAGTCCAGTTCACTTGCACTGTTTAGTAACAAATAACTATTTATTTATTATACAGATAATCTAGATAATAGCAATATATCTATTTCACTAATAATAATAATTTATTTAATATCATTAATAATTATATTATAATACAATAAGAATTAAAAATTATTAAAAATTAATTTAATTAATAAATTAACAATCTAATATTGATTAATGTTTATAATTCTCGGGACAATAGTTTGATATTTATACAAAATAGCAATAATGTATATATGAAGCTCACCATGCAGTAACGAGCTAAATATTTTTGAATGTAAATTGTTGTTAGTAGTTAATTAAAATGTATATGGCGGATTTATTTTAGCACATTATATTTGCATTTAGTTAATAATTATATTTTTAATTAAATATCAATGTTTAATAAATATTTGTAATATTAAATTAAATAAAAGTCTATTTTCATTCACAATTGTAAAATCTTAAATACAATTTGTGTTGAGATTACACTTAACATTTTGAGATACTTAGCCCACTACAGCACAATCTCGCCCATATGACGTTTATATGCAGATTTACTATAATAAATTATCTCAATGAGCCAGGTTATAATTGATGTTATATGTCCGCATACAAGCAAAATAAATAGACCTTTCGCATCCTTTTCTCGGATAACATTATTGTCTAGTCTTTCACAGTCTTTAGACAATTGGTCGTCAATCAGATTATTTGATTTCTTTGTATTATAATGGGTTAGGATATAGTAAACAAACATCATGTGCTTGTAGTGTCCACTTTCGATAGAGTGCTGTAAACTTTGTATAAACAAAAATAGTGAATATTAATCATAAAATTAAAAAGAAAATTTTTAATAATAGATTATTAAATAGATTACTATAATACTTACATTTTATAAATATGTTTGTAATAAACATGTTTTTTGTTTATATAATAGGCCAGAAAATAATGATAATATTTGTCTGAACCGGTGGTAAGGCGAGACTCGGGATAATTAGCAAGTATATGAGCATTGTCATAGGAATTTTGTATCAATACTGCCTGTCCATTTAATACTTGGTTTAACATAAATTTGAGCAATACATTTTTATATTTCTGATTTGTATGTTGTATCCGACTTTTCATTGGTTTATACAGGTTAAATTTTGTATTATTGAAATCATTGATATTAATATTACGAATGAAAACATTTAACTCATTATTTTGTAGGATATCCCCTAACGTGTTGACTACATTTACGGGAAATGGTCGGAAATACATGTTGAATAAAACGCTGGAAAAACTTCGGGCTAAAGCTGTACTGCACAGGAACCACATAAACATACCAATGAATGAAAGGTGCTTGTTCAGTGGTTTTGTGATTATTTGATTTAGTATATAAATTTTAGTTGAATTAATTTTTATAATTATAGAAATCACAACTTGTTTTATAAGAGTAAAAATTCGCCGCAAATTTGCATTAAGCAAGGCAAAAAATAATATCATTAACCAGATCTGAGATTTAATATTAGGATTAAAATATATTAAATATTAACCAAATGATATTTTGCAATAATTTCTTATTTATTTACTTACATTTAAATTGGTTATATCATTAAATTCAAAATATGCGTGCTCATTTTTTAATTTCAAAGCTGTTAATATCTCAAATGCATACCATCTGTCAGATATAACTGCACTACCATGGTTAATTGTCTGGTCAATGATAACTGTCGGAGTTAAATAGAAATGTTGTTCCTGTTGTTTAAAAAATTAAACTAATAATTTAAATAAATCTTTATTTTTAAAATGATTATTACACAAACCTCATAGCTTTTATTTCCATACAGTTTTGCTTGGATATATTTGTTAATTATCACCACTACATTCAACTTACATATCAGGTATTTTACAATATAAGTATGCATACCATATAATATAGCCTGGAATAATTACTAATTATTTGTACTGATATTTATTAAAATCAATGCATTTAATGCTAGACAAATGTGTGTTTTTGTAATTAAAAATTAAAATACTACAGGTATAGATTATGTATGTTTTGTATCCAGTTAGTATGCTTTAATTTTTTAAATAAAAACACACATTTGTATGATATTAACTTATGTCCATTAAAATATTAAAATATTTGTTAGCTATAATTACCCAATCAAAACCTATATCTCCCATCGCTATTGATATAGTGTTATTAGGTTTAAATTGTAGGTTACAATCACTGGTAATATTTTCACCATATAAATAAAAATCCATATGAAACATATCCCACATTTTAAATTTATAAGTTATTAAATAATAGTTTTATATGAAACTTACAGACATATTACATGAAATAGTGTAATGATGTTTGTAATATTTTCACCATATAAATAAAAATCCATATGAAACATATCCCACATTTTAAATTTATAAGTTATTAAATAATAGTTTTATATGAAACTTACAGACATATTACATGAAATAGTGTAATGATGTTAATTTAAATATGAATGCAGTATTTTGTATAATAAATGTCAAATGTTTATTAATTGAGTAAAAATACATTAGTAAAACTAATTACTAAAGTAAAAATATATTAAGTTTATAATATATACACGTGTATACAGGGATGTGCGCCAGAGACAGTACTAGTTTAATTTTGGAGCCAGTACACTCAAACCTTTGTTAGAAATGAATTGCATCTAAAATTGTAATATATTAATTAAGTGATTAGTGTGCTATAAAGTAATTACAGGGATGTGCGCCAGAGACAGTACTAGTTTAATTTTGGAGCCAGTACACTCAAACCTTTGTTAGAAATGAATTGCATCTAAAATTGTAATATATTAATTAAGTGATTAGTGTGCTATAAAGTAATTTTCACGTATAAATCTGTAAATATTATTTCTCTGACCAAAAGTAATCCCTGATTAACCTATGAACCCTAGCATTGGAACATTATTATCTTTGACAGTTCAATGTGTCAAACTTGTTTATATCCCTAATATTTACAGATTTATACATGAAAACGACTTTATAGCATACTAATCAATTAATTAATCTATTACAATTTTAGATGTAATTCATTTCTAACAAAGGTTTGAGTGTACTGGCTCCAAAATTAAACTAGTACTGTCTCTGGCGCCCAGCACTGTATATAATACTTAGAACCATAGTGGGAGCCCCCCCCCGTTTACTATTGTATTGGAAGGAAGTATGCTTTAGGGCTGAATGAAAATTTTGGATAAAAGGTAATAGTGTGCAGTAGTAGATATACCGCCGTTTTAGGGGCCAGTTAAACAGTATCAAAAATATTTAAAATTTTTATTTTGCCACATTATATTATATAAATATAAACTAAATAACTTGATTATTAGTATATTATATAAATATAAACTAAATAACTTGATTATTATATTATAAGTAATGAAAGAGTAGTAATATTATTCCATTAGATCCGGTCTAGGTTCTGCATCTAATCGAGGTATTTTTGCTGGTTCTAAATTGAAATTATATATTAATGTATTTTCTAAGGGTTATTTGAAAAAATACTCTGTGTATCAACAATTTCGTGCTCTTTAACCTTTAAAGGATTAATAAAAAATATTTAATTTACCTCAATTCAATATATTATGATTAAAATTTTTCAAACCCTTAACTTAATCTAATCAATTTTTTATATAAATTCTTGATAATAAAGCTTTACTAATTATAATATTGCAATTTTGTGGCAAAATAAAAATTTTAAATATTTTTGATACTGTTTAACTGGCCCCTAAAACGGCGGTATATCTACTACTGCACACTATTACCTTTTATCCAAAATTTTCATTCAGCCCTAAAGCATACTTCCTTCCAATACAATAGTAAACGGGGGGGCTCCCACTATGCTTAGAACCTAATTGATCTAAGTAATTAATGTATTTAGTTTATAATAGGAATATTCATTTAATAAATTGAAACCTTTTAATTTTATGATAATAACATGTTTATAATGATACTATACTATAATATTTAAAATTTCCAGTAATATTTGACAATATTGCAAATAAAATATAAAATAGTTATTATTTTGTTAGTAAAACATTTTGCATAAAAATCTATTTCATAATTAGTTTAATATTTTAATATTGATAAGTAATTCTAGGTGCAGTTGTTTGATATTTATACAAAATAGCAATAATGTATATTTGAAGTTTATATGCTGATTTACTATAATAAATTATCTCAATGAGCCAGGTTATAATTGATGTTATATGTCCGCATACAAGCAAAGTAAATAGACCTTTCGCATCCTTTTCTCGGATAACATTATTGTCTAGTCTTTCACAGTCTTTAGACAATTGGTCGTCAATCAGATTATTTGATTTCTTTGTATTATAATGGGTTAGGATATAGTAAACAAACATCATGTGCTTGTAGTGTCCACTTTCGATACAGTGCTGTAAACTTTATAATAAATATAAATATTAATCATAAAATCAAAAATTTAAATCATATTTTTACAACTTACATTTTGTAAATATGTTTGTGATTAACATGGTTTTTGTTGATATAATATGAAAGAAAATAATGATAGTATTTGTCTGAACCTGTGCTAAGTCTAGACTCGGGATAGTTAGCCAGTATATCAGCATTGTCAAATGAATTTTGTATTAATACTGCACGACCATTTACTACTTGGTTTAGGATAAATTTTACCGACATATTACTCTTATTATATTTCTGATTTGTATGTTGTATTCGACTATTCATTGGTTTATACAGGTCAGATTTTATATTTTTGAAATCATTGATATTAATATTACGAGTGAAAACATTTAACTCATTATTTCGTAGGATATCCCCTAACGTGTTGACTACATTTACCGCATGGGGTCGAAAATACATGTTAAATAAAACGCTGGAAAAACTTCGGGCTAAAGCTGTACTGCACATGAACCACATAAACATACCCATGAATGATATGTGCTTGCTCATTGACTTTGTAATTATTTGATTTAATATGTAAATCTTAGTTGAATTAATTTTTATCATAGAAATCACAACTTGTTTTATAAGAGTAAAAAGTCGCCTCAGATTTGCGTTAAGCAAGGCAAAAAATAATATCATTAACCAGATCTGAGATTTAGTACCAAAAATATAACACAGTTAATTTGTTTAATTTTATATTTTGTAATAATATTTGTATGACTTACATTTGAATTGGTGATATCATTAAATTCAAAATATGCTTGCTCATTTTTTAATTTCAATGCTGTTAATATCTCAAATGCATACCACCTGTCAGATATAACTGCACTACCATGGTTAATTGTTTGGTCAATCATTACTACCGGAGTTATATAGAAATGATGTTTCTGTTGTTTATAATTTAAAACTAAAAATTTAAGTAAACTTTTTAAAAAAATGATTATTATTCAAACCTCATAACTTTTATCAAAAAGAAGTTGTTTTAGTTTATACTTGTTAATTATCACCACTAAATTCAATTTACACAGCATGTATCTCACAATATAAACAAGCATACCATAGAATATAGCCTGCAAATAATTACAAATTTATTGTATTTATTAAAATATATAAAATTCTTAGTTGTAATTACCCAGTCATAACCTAAATCAGTCATCGCTATTGATATAGTGTTATTAGATTTAAATTGTGGATTACAGGTAATATTTTGGCCATACTCATAAACAACCATATGAAACATATTCAGCATTTTGAATTCTTAGGTTTACACTGTTTATTAATTTTAAGTAGTTTTATACGAGACTTACAGACATATTACATGAAATAGTGTAATCATGTAAATTTAAATATGAATGCAGTATTTTGTATAACAAATGTTAAATGTTTATTAATTGAATAAAAATAATTTAAAATACGAATATATTAAGTTTTGTTGCCAGTTATTGATCTAATATTTTTTACAAAAATAAAATGTAATAAATATGTTAATTTGTCAAATAATATCTATCCTATTCATATCTATTTACGATCGTTAATAGTTTTATCAATAAATATATTTAGTTTATAATAGGGATAATTATTTCATAAATTGATATCATATTATTTTATTATGTAATGCTTAGTAATGATGTTTACTACTTAAAATTCCCATTAATATTATTGCAAGTAAAATATAAAATTGTTATTTTTGTTTTTTAAAACATTTTACATAAAATCTATTTCATAATTAGTTCACTATTTTAATATTGGAAAGTAATTCTGGGGGCAGTTGTTTGATATTTATACAAAATAGCAATTATGTATATGTAGTTTGTATGATGAGTTACAGCAATAGATTATCTCAATAAGGCAGGTCATAATTGATAAAATATGTCCCCATATGAGCAAAGTAAACAATCCTTTTGCATCCCTTTCCCGGATTATATTATTGTCTAATTTCTGACAATCTTCGGACATTTGGTCGTCAATCAGATTATTTGATTTCTTTTTATTATAATGGTTTAGGATATAGTAAACAAACGACAGGTGCTTGTAGTGTCCACTTTCGATACAGTGCTGTAAGCTTTATAAACAATTTTTATAATTTTAAAAACATTTTATGATCCATACATACATTGTAGTTATTAA